TAGAAAAAAGGAATGAGATGCAAAACCTTTGATCATTTGCCACAATTAATTATTTGATTGTAAAAATATAAAATAATTCCCATATACATACCGCTTCAGGACGAAAAGTAGATTATCTTTCAAAATGTATCTTTTTAGATTATATAATTAACTTATCTTCTTTATGCTTAGGATCTTACAGCCTGAAACATAACTATAAAAAATATCTAACAATCTTGAAATCTGCATTTTACTTTATTCAATCCAGTCATTGATATTTATGATTCAAAAAATCCAGAAAATCAAAAGATACGATTTGAACATAAACATCATAAGAAATTTATCATCTAACTTATTGTTATTGCAATCTTCTTTAAAACGCTCGATTATTCTGATAACAGTTTATTTCTAATTTTCTCTTCTTCAGATTTAGCTAATACTGTACTAATATGATGGGAAGTATTGATAAAATTTTTTGAGGCAAAAGGGAAATATTTTTACTAGTGTTAAGTAATGTTCACATTTTCCTATGAAATCACTATAAAAGATATTATATTAATTGATTATAAACAAATGTCTTGTTTAATAAACTCTTATTCATATTATTTTGTAAATCATGCAAATGTCTATTAATCACTAAATGTTGTATATATTAATATATTTAACATTAATTTGGTAAGTATCTTAGCTTTTCGTTAGAAGAAAATATATCTTCAATAGCTAAGGTGCAGGGGCATCATTCTTTTTTTCTTGAAATGATTATTTAGTTCACTGCTTTGAGTAATTCTTCCTAATTATATGATCCATCCACTACCTAAAATCGATCCTCTTATTTAGTGGTAAAGTGTTTGTCATAACTGCACCTTGTAGAGGTTGAAACTGGTTTAGTGAAATTCAATTTAAATTTGGTTTAAACCAGTTGCAACATAAAACTGGATCTGATTTTTAGAGATTCGAAAACTGGTTTTAATAAGATCAATTGATTGTGAAAATTTGAATTTAATAAACTGGTTTAAACTGGTTTTATACATTAACAATAATGACATTTGATATAACAATAGCGTAAAGTTTAATTTATAAAGAAAATTAATACATTAGCCTTGGGAGTTTCTTTTATATTTTCATATTTATGTGATCTTAGAAGTTTTTTTTTATTTTCATATTTTTAGTAGGAATATGTCATATTCTACAAAAATATATGAAAATTATTAAATTTTTTTTTTTGCCGATCCCAATTCTTCCTTCTTTTTGTATAACACTTATGATTGAATTTTAGTTTTTCTTGTACAATTTCAAGATCATATATTTCCTATTTTATATAATATCCTCATTACCATAATGACAGATATGAAAAAAATTTGTTTTAAATTTAGTTTTTACTTTTTTCATGAAAGTTTTTTTTAATATTAAAAAAAATAGAAAGTTCACCCTTTTTACCTTTTGAACCTATTTCTTTTATTGATATCGATTCTGATAATGAAACTATTACAAGTTCTAATAGTTTAGTTAGAAAAAAACATAAAAATAATACATTTAATATAATTACCAAATCTTGTGATAATCATAACCATACATATATTTTTTCACTTTGATTTAAATAATTCTTCTATTGTTTATTGCAAGATATGTGAAATAAATTTGACTGATATACATTAAAAGGCATATTCATATAATCGAAAGGGAGGGAATACAATAAATCTTATTTATCATTTATGTGATAAACATAACATTATAAAGGAAAATTACATGGGATTTTTAAATAAACTTAATGAGGTATTATTGTATTATTGATTTATTAAATTTGATATTAATAATATATATTATGATTTTTATTTTAACTAATATTTATTTTATTTTTTTATTAATAGCCCTAATGTGATCAAAGACAAATCGCAGAATATTTGAAGGTAGTGGCTCCATGTTTACAAAAATGTCAGGAACTTATCATACAAAAGCTTATTACATTTATTATTAAGCTTCTTCAACCATTATATATTTTACAAAATTTCTCTTTTTGTGAATTACTTCTTACATGTGAACCTGAATATAGAATACCATATGATAAAACTGTAAAAGCAATAATTTATGAATCTTTTATATGGAGTAAAGATCAGCTTCGCTTACTTTTAAATAATAATATTATTTTTATTCATTTAACTACTGATTTATGGATTGCAAAGTCTCGTCAAGGATATCTTGGTATAACAATAACTTGGTTAACATCTAATTTTGAATTTCAAGAAGCTTTTTTATCTTGCAACCATCTTCTATACCCACACTTAGGAGAAGTTATTAGTGCTGAAATATTTGAAGTTATAAATGATTGGAATTTAACAGACAAAGTATTTACAATTACAACTGACAATAGAGCTAATATGATAAAAGCTATTCAATTATTAAAAGAACAATATGTATCACAAATTAAACGACAACCTTGTGCCGCTCATATATTACAACTTTCAGTTTTAGAAGGTTTAAAATAATGCAAGTTAGTACATCATCGAGTAAAATGTTTACAAGCATTTTTTCGATGTCCTAAACAAGCCCAGCAACTTCAAGAAACTCAAAAAATTATTAGACAATTATCAGAAATTAATAATAATAAAAATCCACTTAATATTTTAACTGATGTTAAAACTAGATGGAATTCAACATATTATGCTTGAAAAAGAATATTTGAATTACATAATTCTATGCGATATATTGCTACTTCTTTATTAGCAAAACCAGATCGATTATCACAACAAGAAGGAGAAAAATTAGAATGATTATGTTTATCAATTAATGAAAAACAGTAAGTATAATTTATTTAGGTTTTTATTTATATTTTTTTAAAAAAATTAATGTAATTAAATTTTATTAAGGTTTTTGGAAGATATGGTAAAACTTTTATTACCATTTAAAAGAGTAATACGTCAAATTTGTGGAGCTAAATATATTACTTTAAGTCTTATTTACCCTTATATAGAATAATTAAAAAAAGCATTTACACCTAAACCTGGAGAAAATTATAATACATATTTCAACCTTATTTATGGATCAATTAATAATAATGAAGATGAATCTGATAGTTCAATAGAAAGTGATAATGATGAAATTCCTTCTGGTGGTTCACGACAGCATTGGCAATATGCATATCGTCAATTTCGAAAAAATATGCAAAGAGCTAAAGAAAAAGAATATGAATATAGCTATAATAATAAAAGAACTCAAAAAAATCCTAAAACTAACTCTCAGTCAGCTAATAATGTAGATATTGATAATATTAATCGTGTAGAATATTTATTAGCTGTTAATATTAATGGTCTTCTTCAGAAAGTCTGAGCAGCTATTTTTTTATTATTAAATGAATTGTAGTCTATTCCAACAGAATTAGTTTTAATTGCAACAATACTTGATTCTCAGTTTAAAAATTTTCATTGGGATGCTAGTGGTGAAGAAAAAAGTAAGTCACACAAATTATTGCAACAATTATATGATTCAAAAAAGATTCTTAAACTTCAATAACCTGCTAATACTCGATGGGCAACGAGCAGTAAAAATAATGATGATAATGACAATTTTTTTAAAGTTTTAGAAAATAATGAAAATTTATTTAATAATGAGGAGGAGGATGAAGTTTTACGTTATATAAAACTTTAGCAAATTGATATTACAGAGGATCCTTTAAAATGGTAGGATATAAATAAAAGCAGCTTTAAAATTTTGTCTCAACTTGCGAAAAAATATTTATCAATTCCTGCGACCTCTGTGCCTAGTGAAAGATTATTTTCTGATGCGAGTAATTATATTTCGGTAAAATGTACTCAATTATCTCCAGAATTGGTCAATCAAGTCTTATTTTTAAAGAGAAATTGTGATCATTTTAATATTTTTCCATTCTAAGATATCTAATTTTTTTTATCAATCATTTCAAATATATAATTAGCTTTAATAAAATTAAATAAAAATTAATTAAAAAAATTTTTTTTTATTTGTTTATATTGTATATGAAACTAATCGCAATTCAGTTTTTTGGTTTTATTACAATCGTATACCTGGTTGAATCAGTTTTATTTAAAATCAGTTTAAATTCAGTTCTTAAATTTAAAAAGTGGTTAAAACCAGTTTGTGAAAATTAAACTGGTTTCAATCTTTAGCATTTTGTACAGTATGTAACTTACGAGATAAAATTTCTCTGAGATTTAGTGACAACAAGCGCAAGGGGATATTAATTATATAACAATATTTACAACTAGGGATGCTAATGATCACGGTCATGACCGGTCATAACTGTGACCGATATCAGTCGGTCAAAGGCTTCTGACCAACTGATTCTGACCGATTTTGACCGACCAGTTGACTGACTGATTTGAGACTGAACAATCATATTTTAAATAGTAAAAACATTTTGTATTAAAATTAACAAAATCAACATTTTATTTTAATTATCTATAAATTAAAATTTTGAAATTTTGAAAAAAAAAATTAAAGTCCGTTATAATGCTGCGCCACTATATAAAAATGACGTAGTTTTAAAAAAATGCCATGCTAGTATTATTAAAGCAAGAATCAAAATTATAATATTTGGCTAAACTAAAAACTTTCTATTAAGCAAAAACTGCTCAATTATATTACTATTAACCGGTCGGTCAATCGGTCAGTTAAAATCAGTCAGTTAACCGGTCAGTCGGTCAAAGGCCTTTGACCGACCGTTGACCGACCGGTGACTGACTACGATAGACCGTTACTATCCCTAAGCCAGACGAAGTAAAGTTCATACCTATTAAATTAATAAAATGAACAAATTAAATAAATAATTTGCAATTTTCTTTGATACTTTGCACAGCGTAATTTCTAAGGTTTATTAAAGACATAAAGGATATGTCTAAAGATGGGTACTACAATTAAAAAAAATAGTGCAATTCATTTGCAACTTGTGACGCAATTAAATTTTCTTATGTCACAATTTAGTTGCAACTCTATTAAAATTTGAAAATAATTATGAGAACCATCTTTAGATATATATATTTGCTTCTTTTTTATTTAGGCCAAATACAGTCTTCAATTTCTTCTTTAGTGAGTTCATCATCTGTTTTAAAATTTTCATCGCTGTAAAATCCTACTTTATTCATTATAGTTTTACAATCTTCCTTAAAATCATCCTAAGATAGAGAAAATGGTTGAAGCTCTTTAAGTGAAGAATTTTTAATGTTAACATATGAGTGGTTCCTTTTTGTTATCGTTCTTTTTTCTAATGTCAATCAAATATATTGAATTTTTATTAGATTATAAATATTATAATAATTTCTTTAATACTAACATTCTTTCTTTGAGAATTTATTCCTTTTCTTTCTTTTTTAGATTTAGTCTTACTAGAATTAAAATTAATAGTCTAACTATCTCTATGATAACTATATAAATTTTATAAACTCACTTCAATTTGATATCTTTATACTGAAATCTTCTAGCTAAAGCTTTGCCAATCTCCTTTATAATGTGATGTGAAATGTGATGTACAATTTTTATCTATCTTTTAGAATAATCCAATTGTAATGAATTATTAAAACCAATAAGAATTTGTATAACTTCATTTGTGTTTTAATAAAAGATAGTTAACAGTTAATAAATTTATTAGAAATTGATAATTACTTGTTACCTACCTGGAATAACTTGTATTTTTCTTTATTCATTTCTTCAAGAATTATCTGAGCATGTTAGCAGTATTCAGTTTCTGATTCTAATATTATTAATACGTTTATTTTTTATTTTTTAAAAAAAAGTTAATGCTTGAGGAGTCAATAAGGCTGGCTCATCAGAATAAATTATCTGATATAGTTAAAAAAACTCACAACAATTATATACTTTATCCATTTAAAATAAACTTAATATAGCTTAAAAATATAGTTACAAAAAAAGATCAGTTTTTTGATTAAATAATTTTTATTTAAATAATGATAATATATATACAGTAAAATTTGATATAACAGAACTATCTGTTTCAATAAAAATATTTGTTATATCGAGATATCAAAAAATTTTGATATACCAGATTTTATATATAAATTACATGAAATTCAGTTATTAAGTTTTATTTGTGTAACATGAGCGATAAACATTAAAAATTTAGATTATTTTTATTTATATCATTATTTGAGAATTTTATACACTAAAATTAATTAAAACTCAAAAAAAATATTTATTCTACCCTATTTGCTTTTTATTACTATCTGAAATAATTTTTTTTTAATTTAAACAAATTTTGTATGTCTAAATTATCAATACTCAAATTGTTTTACTAAATATACTTAATTAATTTTTTAATGCTATTTAATGCATTAAAAGTAATAATAGTTTCATCATTTTTTTTCACATGTTTTTCTGCTTTACTTTGGCCTTTAATAATATTAATAATCTTCTTTAATATTAATTCTTCTTCAGTAATTAATTAATCATCAATATTGATATATTTCTTTATATTTAAAGGATCTGTAATTAGTAATTCATTGATTAATAATTGTAAATCTTTAATATCATCAACTTTACGATCATCATTATCAAAAGTATTAAATTCATTATCAGGAAGAATTTTAGCTTTAGCCAACTATTAATGATTATTTTTTAGTTACTATTATTTATGCTTTAGCAATTAAATTGATAAGTTCAAAAATATCAATAGGAGATAGAACTTGATCTTCATATAAATTATAAGCTTGAATCTGATTTTTATATAATAATTTGTGGTATTGTAGTTTACTATTCTAGTTGATTTAGACTTTTTTTTGATAAACATATTATACCATTCTAACCTTTACTTTTTAGATCATAATTTTTGTTATAGAGTAAGACTCTGAAATGCAGTCTTACTGAAAGTATTGTATTTATAGTTACTATTATCTTTTCTATTAATGATGCTAGTTTTCGTATTGCAATTGATTTCTTTTTTTTGCCCTTAGACATTCTTAGATCAAATTCTTCACTTTCTTCTTTAGAAGTTTAGAAGTCATTAGCTTTGCATTTATCTAGAAACCTAGGTAGTCGACTATTTATAAGGGATTTAGACATAATTTCTTTGTATTTATTGTAAATCCGTATTCTTGTAATTATCTGATTAGACAGTTTATATATTCTAGTATTTGGCTTTTTGATGAAACTATGATCAAAATATCATCTAAGTATGCTACTACCCATATTTCTATCTTTCTTTTCATCTTTATGATCTGTTTCAAAATTTTAGTAAAAACTCTAAGACTTGTAGTCAGACCAAATAGGAGATATGTAAAATAATAACATTTATTAAGATAATCAAAGGCAAAATATTACCTTTGATGTAAGGATAAAGGTACAAAGGGTTATTAAAAGTTTCTGAATGAATTTTTATGCAATATAAAATGCTTACTTTTTAAAATTCAACCAAAAAAACTTTATTAAAACTTTATTTTAAACTTATCAAAACCTACATTTTATATTATTAAACTAGTATTTAATTAGACCACTTTTTGTCGCAATCACCGCTTGAATTCATGCTAGCATACTATCAACTAAATTTTTGATCAGATATTTTAGAATTGCTTTTCATGCATTTTTAACATTCCTTTCAAGTTCAGCAAGGTTGGTTAGCTTTTACTTTTTATTTCTAATTTTCTTTTTTACTTCAGCCCATAAATTTTTAATTGGGTTAAGGTCTGAGCTTTGAGTGAACTAAGAAAGAATGTGCAGATTTTTTTCTGCATAAAATGATGATGCAACCTTTATTTTGTGAGGTCTAGTATTATTTTTTTGAAACAAATTATTGTTTCTTGGAAACATATGCTTCATTATAGGTAAAGCATATTTTTGCAGTATTTCAATGTGAATAGCTCTAGTTGCTGATCTATATAGTGATACAATTGATCCCATTCTTTTTCGTAAAAAACAACCCTAAAACTTGCAGCTTAGGCTGTGTTTAACTGTGACTGAAATACAAGAGAGTGATCATTTATCTTCTGGTTCTCTTCATACTTTACTAATATGACTTTGCTAAAATTGAGTAAAGATCAATTCATCACTTCATAATACTTTTGCTCAATCATTTTTTGTCTAACTTTCATATTCTAAACACCATGCAAGTTGTGCCTCTTTAATTGCTGGTGAAATCAGAGGCTTTTATCATGCAACACAACTTCTCAGTCCAAGTGAATGAAGAGTGCAATGAATGGTAATTTCTGAAATATTCTGGCTTGTTTTTTTTCCATAGTTCTTTTATTCCAGTAGCACATAATTGTCAATATTATGCTTTTTTATTTGTTATCAAATATTTAAGCCAATTGTGATTCATGATATTAATCAGGTGTGATCGTCTAAAACGAGGCTTAGAATCAATAGATTCAATTTCAGCATGCCTTTTTAATGTATCATAAACTGTTATTTTGCCACATCCAACAGTTTCTGTAATCTGATTATACAAATTGCCATTTTTACAAAGATAAAATATAGCACCTCATTGTTCTGCAATTAATTCATAAAAATTTAAATAAATTTTTATAAGTTACTAGCCATGTTATTTTTATACTGAATAGGGTAGCAGTTGCTTTAAAGGGATAGATATTTATTTATTGTTTTAATTAAATATGTAGTAATTAATAAATTCACTTTTTAAAAAAACCAAAATTTTCACCTTTGCACATAAACACGTGATGGGTCTTGTTAAAGAATTAACTCTTATGCAAAAGAAAGGCATAATAATAGCCAATAAATTGGGTCACATAAATTCAAAGATTGCAAAGTTGTAGAATATCATTGAACAACTGTTTTAAGATATCTTGCAGCTTATAAATCAGGAGAACCTTTCAAAAAATGATCAGGTTGATCATGCTTAATCGATAATCAAGGAAGGCAAAGATTAAAGGCTGAAGTTCTCAAAAGCAAAGAATTGAGACGGAAAAAT